AATACAAAAATTAGCTGGGCATGGTGGCAGTTGCTTATAATCCCAGCTACTCGGGAGGCTGAGACAGGAGAATCACTCAAACTGGGGAGGTAGAGGTTGCAGTGATCCAAGATCACACCACCACACTCTAGCCTGGGCAACGGACTGAGACTCTGTCTTAAAAAAAAAAAAAAAAAAAAGGAAAGAAAAGAGGCAAACAGCCAGGCACAATGCCTCAACAGTGCCTCACACATGTAATCCCAACACTTATGAGAGGCCAAGGTCAAACAGATAACTTAAGCCCAGGAGCTTAAGATCAGCCTAGACAACCTGGTGAAACCCAGTCTCTGCAAAAAATTTAAAAATTAGCTGGGCATGATGACGTGAGCCTATATTCCCAGCTACTCAGAAGGCTGAGATGGGAATTTACTTGAGCCCAGGAGGCAGAGGTTGCAGTGAGCTGGACGACATAGTGAGACTCTTTAAAAAAAAAAAAGGGGGGCAAACGTTGTAAATTGACATTTCTCCAACATGTACAAATAACCAACAAGCACATGAAAGCATGCTGAGCATCATTAGTCATTAGGGAAATGCAAATCAAAACTACAGTAAGATACCACTACTCACCTATTAGGATGGGTATAATCAAAACAATGGAAATAACAGGTGTTAACAGGAATATAGAAAAAATGACACCAGCATACATTGAGGTGGGAATATAAAATAGTACAGCCACCATAGTTAACAGTTTGGCTTTCCCCAATAAGTTAAACACAGAATTACTGTATGACCCAGCAGTTGCACTCTCAGGTACACACCCAACATAAGTGAAAACAGGTATTCATACAAAACTTGTGCAAGCATGTTCATTTTAGCACAATTCACAGTAACCAAAAAGTGAAAATAACCCAAACGTACATCAAGTGATTAATAAACAAATGTGATACTTTCATACAATTGAAATATTACCCAACCATGAAAAGGAATGAAGTACTGATACATGCTACAACACAGGTGAACCTGGAAAACAACATGCTAAGTGAAAGAAGCCAGGCACAAAAGGCGGATATATGATTTCCATTCCTATGAAATACCCAGAGGCATATGGGTATTTGCCCAGCTACAGAATGGCAATCTATAGAGCCAAAAAGCAGGTTGTGGCTGCAGGAGTGGGGAGGCATGTGGAATACCTGCTTCGTGGGTACAGGGTTTCCTTTTGGAGTTTTGAAAGTCTCCTGGAACTAGAGAGTATGTTGGTTGTATGACATTGTGAATACTCAATATATCCCTGAATTACATACATTAGAATGGTTTAGAAGGTCAATTTTATGTGCACTTTACCACAACGAAAGCATACATAAACACATGCATCCTCACACAAAGGGGAGGGGCTGAGATCTGAAGAGCATGGAACGTGCCACCATCTGAATACGGCTGGCTCCCAGAGAGGAGTTACCACACACTGGCTGGTGGTGAGCACAGATAACTACAGGAGTACAGGCTGTCGCCAGCTGTGTAGAGGAGGCCCTGAGCCTTCCTGTGTGAGCGCAAGGTCAACAGCCACAGTCACAGCTCAGGATTCTTTTCCTGTCCTTCCCCAGGAGCACATCCTGCAGGGCTGTGTTTCCTGCCTGGCTGAGAATCTAGTTGCCAAACCACCTTTCCTCTGAAGGAATCAACCATGATGTTTCCCTAGTTCCATTTTTCACTTTTATATTACTGGGTAGGTAGTTATCACATCCCATAATAGCACTTTATTCTGGCCCTATCCAGTACTGTTCTTACAAATGCAGAAGCAAAGGACTTGAATAGACATTTGTGCAAAATTGAATAGCTGTTTGAACATTTCAGCAATATTGAGTTGCAGGTATGTTTTATGTATTCCTCTGTCCATTTTCGGAGAGCCTTTTCTTCTCCCTCCATACCCATTATTATTTCATGTCACTGCCACACAGATTGGATGAGCAAGCAAATAAACCCTTTTTCCAAGCCTTTGCGAAAAGACCATATCCTTGATTCTTTACAGCCTCTTCTCTCTCACGTTGCAGACTGAGCAGCTTCCCAGGGAAAGTCAGCCAACCCCAGGCAACTAGAGTGCCACAGAATAAAGCCACACCTCAGTCTCAGGGGTGCTCTTACAGATTTTGTGCCATAGAAGATTGCAGTTGTGTTTGGGCACATAGCTTTTCCAGTTGAAAAGTTTTTCATCAGAACCTTGAGTCTGGCCAGGTGCAGTAGCTCACACTTGTAATCCCAACACTTTGGGAGGCTGAGGCAGGTGGATCACTTGAGGTCAGGAGTTCAAGACCAGCCTGTTCAACATGAAACCTCATTGCTACTAAAAATACAAAAATTAGCCAGGCGTGGTGGTGTGTTGGCACATGCCTGTGATCCCAGCTACTTGGGAGTCTGAAGCATGAGAATCGCTTGAACCTCTAGGAGGTGGAGGTTGCAGTGAGTCTCAAAAAAAGAAAAAGACCAAGTACAGTACAGTGGGTCATACCTATAATCCCAGCACTTTGGGAGGCCATGGCAGGTGGATCACAAGGTCAGGAGTTCAAGACCTGTCTGGCCAACATGGTGAAACCCTGTTTCTACTAAAAATATAAAAATTAGCTCGGTGTGGTGGTGCATGCCTATAATGCCTGCTACTCAGGAGACTGGTGGGAAAATCTCTTGAACCATGGAGGTGAAGGTTGCAGTGAGCTGAGATGGAGCCTCTGCACTCCGGGCTGAGCAACAGAGTGAGACTCTCTCAAAAAAAAAAAATATATATATATATATTAACCAGGCGTGGTGGAAAACATATATATATGTATAGAGAGAGAGAGAACCTAGAACCTTGAGTAGTGTCTTCATAGTTCCTGAGTAACTAAAATCATGAACATAAGTACTACTAAGGTGACATGTTTAGGTAACAGTACTAAATTCATTTTATCTAAATATCCTCTCCTTGACAATGTTTTTTGAGATGGAGTCTCACTCTGTTACCCAGGCTAGAGTGCAGTGACACGGTCTCGGCTCACTGCAGCTGCGGCTTAAATGTCCTGGGCTTAAGCAGTTCTCCTGCCTCAACCTCTCAAGTAGCTGGGATTACAAGTGTGCACCACCACACCCAGCTAATTTTTATATTTTTAATAGAGACAGGATTTTGCCATGTTGGTCAGGCTGGTCTCAAATTCCTCACCTCAAGTGATTCACATGCCTTGGCCTCCCAAAGTGCTAGGATTACAGGCATGAGCCACTGTACCCAGCCAGCCAATGTTTTCTATTTAATAAAACTTAAAACGCATTTGTTTTGTGACTTGAATTGGGTTTAAGTTCTTTTCAAGAGAATTTAGCAGGTAGACCTGCCTTCATTTTAGCCTACTCACAGATTAGACCTAACTAAACAGCAGATAGTTTTTAATGCATTTTTCTGTTTTTAAACATGTGATCTGGCTTCTAAGGAACATACTGCCACAGTGTTCTAAATATCAGTCATGAAAGACACTCACCTGCCCCACACTCACCTGAGTACTCTTACTTAGCAAGAGAACTGGGAGCAGTGAGAAGAAGGCTGCATGTTCCCAGACTTAGAAGAGTCTACAGATCAGAACTCGCTCTCAGAGTGTTACTGGCTTTAGGCTGGTGCAATTCTTCCAGTTCCCCACTCTTGAGTGCCTACTCACAGGAATGAGCAGTTGCTTAGAGCCATGGGGAGAGCCCTAGTTCCCAACAGCCCAGCTTTTGGGTCCTTTGTGCTCTACCCTGGTCTGGACTTGTTCCTCTCAAGACCATACTTGCTCATGCCAGGTGGGTACAGCAGCACAGCTCCTGCTGTTTGCCTTCAAAGCACTCAGCAGTAGAAGGCAGACACATAAACAATCACAGCCCGAGGTGGTAATTGGTATTTCATAGTTGTGAGCAGAGCACTACAGAAGTTCTGTCTTTTATGCACTAGTCACCTGCCCTTCATCTCACTCAGCTCAAATAGCTCTAAAAAGTGTTAGTCTCCCTTTAAGCTTCCTGTGAGCCAGGGCTGAGTCATGTATATGCCCATGCAGTAGACACAGGGAGTGTGGGATTCTGACACGGGAAGTGGCTTCTGCCAGCAAAGAAGAAGTCATAGACTGTTCCCACCCATGTCTACCCCACCTCAGCCAAGTATTCAAAAATCAGGTGTGTAACTGAGGTTTATTCTTACTGGCTCTCAGTTTCCCAGCTTTATATATGCATAACAGATAAATAAGGGCCAGCATGGTGGCTCACACTTGTAATCTCAACACCTTGGGAGGTCAAGGCAGGAGAATTGTTTTCACCCAGCAGTTCAAGATCAGCCTGGGCAATATAGCAAGACCCCATGTCTTTAAAAAAAAAAGTTGGTTTTTTTTTTGAGATGGAGTTTCGCTCTTGTTACCCAGGCTGCTGGAGTGCAATGGCGCAATCTCAGCTCACCACAACCTCCGCCTCCTGGGTTCAGGCAGTTCTCCTGCCTCAGCCTCCTGAGTAGCTGGGATTACAGGCTTGAGCCAGTTTTTTTTTTTTTTAATTAATCAGGCATGGTGGCACGTACCTGTAATCCCATCTGTTCAGGAGACTAAGGTGGGAGATGCTTGAGCCCAGGAGTTTGAGGTTACAAGTGAGTGGTGATTGCACTGCTATACTCCAGACTGGGTGACATAACGAGACCTTATCCCAAAATATATGTGTGTATCACATGTAATTTAGGAAGACCTTGAGTTTTTTCTCTCCATTTATATATATATATATATATATATAATTTTTTTTTTTTTTAATAGAGACGGGGTCTCACTATGTTGCCCAGACTGGTCTCAAACTCCTGAGCTCAAGTGATCTTACTGCTTTGGCCTCTCAAAGTTCTGAGATTACAGGCCTACACTACCATGTCCAGCCTTTTCTCTCCATTTTAAACCTACAGGGATTTCTATAACAAATAAAGGAGTCCTTTTCTAAATGCCAAGTACTAGGCACTATGTCAGGGTGCTTTATGTTTTGTCTGTCATGTTTTCTTATTTCAGTGAAGAAAAAATGACTGCTGCCCGCATTAGAAAATGCCACAAGTGTGGGACTGGCCTCATCAAATCTGAAGGCTGCAACCGCATGTCTTGCCGCTGTGGTGCCCAGATGTGCTACCTCTGTCGAGTTTCTATCAATGGATATGACCATTTCTGCCAGCACCCCCGCTCTCCAGGAGCCCCTTGCCAGGAGTGTTCAAGATGCTCTCTCTGGACTGACCCCACTGTAAGTAGAGATATGGCTGCCTGTTGCTTTATAAGGGAAAAATAGAAATACATTTTTATGACAAATATTTTCTATATATATAACAAAATTTGACTTAGGAGAAGAATATAGGAAATTACAAAGACTGATAACCGAATTTAAGAAAGGAATTATCAACTACTTCTTATGCTGCTCAAAGCAGCATACCCTAACAGTTTTATAGGCAAATTTCTTCTAATTCTTCAGGAAATAAAATTTTTCTATGCGCTCTGAAATATCCCAAAGTAAGGAAACTTACAAATTTATCTGTTCAAAGCCAGCATAATGCTGATTCCAAAGCCTGACAGAGATAGTCCTAACAAAGAAAACTGAGAGTCTCTTATAATATAGGTTTAAATTATCTAAGTAAAATATTAGCAAACAGCATGACCAAGTGAGTTTGTTCCAGAAATGCAATTATAGTTTAATGTTAACAACTCTATTAACATAATCATGATATTGTATCTATAGATGGTTTAAAGACATTTAAGAAATTAAATCAAATATTTGTTCTTGATTTAAGCTTTAAAAATACAATATTACAAAGGATATTTTAGACCCCGAATTTCAAGATAGTTGTTAGCATGCATTTAGTAGTAAATAAAGTCAAGTATAACACTGTCAATCAGCACTACTTTGTTCTGAAACTGCTAGTCAGTGTACTTAGCTAAGAGAATAAAATAAAAGATACAGTAGATACTGGAGACAGTCATAGCTATTTTTTATTGGGCACCTACCATGTGTCAGACACCGTTCTTAATACTTTATAAGTATTTTATATGTAAAGAAAGGCAAACTTAACTGGGCATGGTGGCTCACGCCTGTAATCTCAACACTTTGGGAGGCCAAGGTGGGTGGATCATCTAATGTCAGGAGTTCAAGACCAGCCAAGCCAACATGGCAGAACCCTGTCTCTACTAAAAGTACAAAAATTAGCCAGGCATGGTGGCGCACACCTGTAATCCTAGCTACTCGGGTGGCTGAGGTACGAGAATCACTTGAACCAGGGAGGCAGAGGTTGCAGTGAGCCAAGATGGTGCCACTACACTGCAACCTGGGCGACAGCGCAAGACTCTGTCTCAGAAGAAAAAAAAAAGTCCGATCATGGTGGCTCATGCCTGTAATCCCAGCACTTTGGGAAGCTGAGGCAGTTGGATCACCTGATGTGTCAGGAGTTCCAGACCAGCCTGGCCAACATAACAAAACCTAGTCTCTACTAAAAATACAAAAATTAGCCAGGCATAGTGGCATGGGCCTGTAATCCCAGCTACTAGGGAGACTGAGACAGGAAAATTGCTTGAACCTGGGAGGCAGAGGTTGCAGTGAGCTCAGATTGTGCTACTGCACTCCAACCTGAGCAACAGAACAAGACACTGTCTCAAAAAAAAAAAAAAAAAAAAATGAAAGGCAAACTTACCACTTTAAACCTAGAAAAAGATAAAATAATTTTGTTAAAAAGCTATTAGAAGCAATAGAAAGATGGCTAAATATAAAATAAGTATGTGGCTGGGCATGGTGGCTCACATCTATAATACTGGCACTTTAGGACGCTGAAGTGGGTGGACCACCTAAGGTCAGGAGTTCAAAACCAGCCTGGCCAGCATGGTGAAACCCCTTCTCTAGTAGAGTGCAAAAATTAACCAGGCATGTTGGCATGCACCCCTAATCCCTGCTACTCAGGCTGAGGCGGGAGAACCACTTGAGCCTGGGAAGCAGAGGTTGCAGTGAGCCGAGACACATGACTGTACTGCAGCCAGGGCGACGAAGCAAGACTCTGTCTCATAAAATAAGGATCAATTCTTAAAATTATTTTAAACTAAAAACAAGCACAATCAGTTCTGAGCTTATCTGTAAGAATAACGATGTCCTTTTTTGAGATGGAGTCTTGATTTGTCACCCAGGCCGGAGTCCAGTGGCATGATCTCGGCTCATTGCAACCTCCGCCTCCTGGGTTCAAATGATTCCCAGTTCTCCTGCCTTAACCTCCCGAGTAGCTAGGATTACAGGCGCCTGCCACCACACCCGGATACATTTTGTATTTTTAAGTAGAGACAGGGTTTCACCCTGTTGGCCAGGCTGATCTCAAACTCCTGACCTCAGGTGATCCACCCCCTCGGCCCCCCAAAGTGCTGGGATTATAGTCGTGTGTCACTGCACCTGGCCAGAATAATGATGACATAATGCGAGAAGACATCTCTACAAAAAGGTGATTACATGTGACAGTGAGCTCCCTGCTGACTTGGAGCAAGTGCACCAAGACCACTAGGAGGCAGGCCTGGTGACAGGTGGCATTTCTCAGCTTTCATTGGAAAGAGTGAAGGAGGACTGGGTAGTGGAGACACGTGCCTGTTCTCTAAGGGAACAGTCAGCATTACAGAGAGATCACCTCTATCCAAAGTCACCTAGAAGTTAATGCAATTCACATCTTAAATTCAGTAGGATTTTTTTAAACTGACTTATTTTGAAAATAAAACTACTTCTTACCACAAAGCCATCAATACACTAATCAAAACCATGTAGAGTAACACAATAATAGAAAGAAAAAAGAAAAGACTGGGCATGGTGTCTCAAGCCTATAATCCCAGGATTTTGGGAGGCCAACATGGGTGGATCACCTGAGGTCAGGAGTTCGAGACCAGCCTGACCAATATGGTGAAACCCTGTCTCTACTAAAAATTCAAAAACTAGCCAGGCATGGTATTGCATGCCTGTAATCCCAGCCACTCGGGAGGCTGAGGCAGGAGAATTGCTTGAACCTGGGAGGCAAAGGTTGTAATGAACTGAGATCGTGGTGCTGTACTCTAACCTATGCGACAGTGTGAGACACTGTCTCAATTTAAAAAAAAAGGGGTCACACATGGTGGCTCAGGCCTGTAATCCCAGCACTTTGGGAGGTCAAGGAAGGCAGATAACTTGAGGTCAGGAGTTCAAGACCAGCCTGCTCAACACGGCGAAATCTTATCTCTGCTGAAAATACAAAAAATTAGCTGGGCTTGGTGCCAGGTGCCTGTATTCCCACCCACTCAGGAGGCTGAGGCAGAAGAATCGCTTGAACCTGGGAGGTGGAGGTTGCAGTGAGCCGAGATTACACCACTGCACTCCAGCCTGAATGAGAGAGCGAGACTCCATCTCAGAAAAATTAAAAAAACAGAAGTATATGTCTCCTCCATCTCTTAAGTACAGAGGCAAACAGCTCAGGAATGGGCTAGCAGCTCTTATCTGGGATCCAGTTGCTTTCAGCATTCTGCACTGCCACCCCTAGTGCATAGCCAAGGATCACATGCAGTCATTGTCTGCAATGGAGCTCTGGCTGATAAATCCACATTCCCAAGCAGCAGAGGAGCTGGAGTGGGGCTAAAGAGCCTGCCTACCTATCTCTTAAGGAATGTTAGGCTTCCAGAAGCTGCCAAAGGTCACTTCTGCTTCAGTCCTGTCAGCCAGAACTTAATGACCTGCCTCCTCAACTGCAAGCGAGACAGGAAAGAGTAGCCATCATAGGCCCAGCTAGGATGTCTGTGGAGGAAGGTGTTACACTCAGGAGTCTCCCTATGTTCTATTCACCTCAACTAAAATATGGACACAGGAAGTTTTTAAAAAAGGAAGTATAAGTAGGGAGGAAAGCTGCTTGCTGGACAGGTGCAGTGGCTCATCTCTATAATCCCATTGCTTTGGGAGGCCAAGGCAGGAGCATCACTTGGGTCCAGGAGTTTAGGAACAGCCTGAGCAACATAGTGAGACCTCCCTCTTTACAAAATATCAAAAATTAGCCAGATGTGGTGGTGCTCAACCATAGTCATGGCTACTCCGGAGGCTGAGGCAGGAGGATCATTTGAGCCTGGGAGGTCGATGCTGCAGTGAGCTATGTTCGTGCCACTGCACTGCAGCCTGGATGACAGAGCAAGACTCTGTCTCAAAAAAAAAAAAAAAAAAAAAGCTGCTTGCTTTTCTACCTGGCCAAAATCTGGTAGAGCTGGCTAATAGCTACCCCTAATAAACAAATAGAAATGAAAATAGCACCTAGCTGGTGGTAGGTAATTTTCAGATTCACTGGTATCTCCCACACTGTAATTGAGTATACTGGGCAGTTACGGTGTACAAATCAGAAGATTTAGTGTGTATCTTTGATCTGGGAGTTCCACTTAATTAGAAAAGGTTATCCTCAGGAGACAGTTGGACAAGTTCACCAAGTTCTATGTGCAACACTGTTCACTGAGTTATTTAAAGTAGTATAAATTTAGAAACCCCATGTAAATGTCCCAAAAAATAGGAGATATGTCAAATTTTATATATGCGTACATTAGAATAGTATCAAAAGTAGTTATATATATATATATATATATGTCTATTCTTTAAAACATGTTCCTTTGAACATGGGAAGATTTTCACATTGAAAACAAACAGCAGGCCGGGCGCGGTGGCTCACGCCTTTAATCCCAGAACTTTGGGAGGCCGAGGCAGGTGGATCACGAGGTTAAGAGATTGAGACCATCCTGGTCAACAAGGTGAAACCCCGTCTCTACTAAAAATACAAAAATTAGCTGGGCATAGTGGTGCACACCTGTAGTCCCAGCTACTTGGGAGGCTGAGGCGGGAGAATTGCTTGAACCCAGAAGGCGGAGGTTGCAGTGAGCCGAGATCATGCCATTGCACTCCAGTCTGGGTAACAACAGTGAGACTCCCTCTCAAAAAAAGAAAACAAACAGCATGGATTGCTTGGGTCACAGACTCAAGTTACCACAGAGGCAAGTGGTAGCAAACATGATGTCTGGATGGAGCACACTCAGTCTAGGAGGCAGGAAGGCATGATGGGGACTGTGGCATAGGAGAGGGTATGGGGCCCAGCCAAGTGGCTGCTGCTCAGCCACTGTAGGTTGCTGCTGGGAGGGCCTCCCAGCTGCTCAGAAGGCTGAGGCACAAGAATCGTTTCAACCTGGGAGGCAGAGATTGTATTAAGCCAAGATTGTGCCACTGCACTGCAGCTG